GATTTTATTGTGCATTAGATGGAGGCAGAGAGACTAGAGCTATTTCTCTTGAAATATCTAAAGCTTATAACAAAGATTGGCATGCTGGTCCTTTCCATAAGCTTGCTTCATATAATGTATCTGGGAAAGTTTTTGAGATTTTTAAAATTGTTTCTTTCTAGCTGCTTTATTAAAGTCATCCTTAAAGTTCTATCCTTAAGGTTCTATCTTTGGTCCTGTTTTGTTTCTTTTCTACATTAATAATCTTCCTGACAACTTTTTATCTAAAGTGGCTTAATTTGAAGAGTTGCTGATAATTCAACTTTATACACTTGTCTTGACAAAAAGTCTTCTCTTTTCATCATGAGCCGGTTCTTCTAATGATGTTCTTTTTTTTCTAAAAAAGATCCAAAAACGCAATGTAAACATAGTTGGATTTGCTCTATCTGCTTAAGGGTTCTTTCCAATCTTTAAAAAGTTGCATTTCTTGCTCTTTTCTATAAATACTATCGTGGCTGCTGCTCAAAGCTATCATCTCTAGTTCCATCAACTAAAACTCATTCACGCTTGAGTTGTCATTCAAAGTCTTATTTGCTTACTTTATCTGACCCTGCATGCTTTAAAATTTTTTATTCATCTAGCTTTTTTCCTTGCACTTCAACCCTTTGGAACTCTCTCCCATCTTTATGTTTTCCTGACTCATACGACCTACAACTTTTCAAGTCTTCTGTCAACCGTTTCTTGCTCTATAGTTCTATTTTTTTTTTTCTAGTTTTTCCTAACTTAATAGTGGTTGCTTGCAGCCTTGTTGAGTGAATCAGAATTTTAAAAAATATATTTTTTAAAATATTTTTGACGTAAAAACTACTACCACAGTTTAGGAGGGAGAGGGAGCACAGGTATATGTGACAGGACGTTTGTGACAGGAGGGATTGAATAAAAAATTTACAAATATAGGACAACTTACTTTATGGACAACCAACCTTAATTGCATTTACAAACAATTTGTTTTACTAAAATAAAAGTATTAACCAAATAAGAATTATTTAAAACATGTGTTTATTTTGTAAGCAACAAAAAGAAAAGAAAACTTGACTACTTTTTCATTTTCCACTGTGGAATTGCATATATATTTGTTTTTTGTAATCGGCTGTTTTAATATATAGAATTTTAAAAATTCAGAATTTAAAAATAGAAATCTAACAGTAATAACTATTCTTTGGATTTGTTAGACATTTTCAAATTTTTAATTTGCTTTTGTAATTTATATTATTAGGACAGCTTGTGGCTTTTGCAACTTGATCGTACCATTTTGGCCTCTTAGTTATACGAACCTAAGGACCCGCAAATTTTTTCTTGAGTCTCTTGAAGTTTGATAAGCTAAACAAAATTAAATTTATTTGCAATCCTTTTCTCATACAATGTGTATCTAAACCAATCCACATTAGAAAGAACAAGTGATCGAATGGAACAAATTTTCTGCCAGAACCGGAACCGAAAATTAATTTTTATTATTAATTACTGAAACAGAAAATAAAATCCAAACCGGAACCGAAACCGGAAAAATATATTGTTTTTTAAAGTTAGTTTTAATTTAAGCATAATAATAAATTAATAAAAATAACTAATAACAGAATCCAACAACTGGAAGATTTTTTAAACAAAATAGAAATTTTTCCAAATTTATTGGATGGATTCTGTGTCTTTCGTTTGAGAGAATATCTCCAGCTGTAGAAAACAGTCCTTTAACATCTGATGATGTTGGAGGTGATGTGAGGTACTTTTTTGCCACATTAGTCAATGCTAACTTGATTTTGGAATTTGCATTTTTTTTCATAGCTTTTCCAAAACTTTTGGCATTTAACAAAGCATTTAAAAGTTATTGGACTATCCAAAAAATCGTTCAACGCTTCTTTTATCATTTTGGAAGATGAACGGCCATTTGGTCCTATTTGAGTTTGAGATATGAACAAACGATGTGTTTTTTTCATTGTTGCCAAATAGAATTTAAATTACAGGAGCTAATACATCTAGAGGTTCAAAATTGTTCATTTGGGACATGACAACGTGTTTAGCATTTTGCAAAGAACCTTGAGATCTGAAAAAATATCATTTTGTATTTTGGATCGAGTAGAGTAGTAACTGAATAACGTTCTGTTTTTTCAATTGCGGAAAAACGTTCCATTGCATTTTTCATAGCAATTTTCAATTCCTTAACACTGATATCGCTATCGAACCGGAACCGAATCAAATTTCGGTCGATCACTAGAAAGAACCAAAATCCAACTACCATCCTAACTTACAATTAAGGAAAATATAAATAATTCTTTAACTCTAACTATTCTTTAAGTTCCATAAATCACCTTGCTCCAATTGGAAAAAGTTATCACCACCTATTATAACTTACCTATATACTAAAACCCCATACTAATAAAAAAACACTTATTCTCTAAAGAAAATTATAATAACTTTAATGATTTATCAGTCCTAGTACTAAATCTAAATTTCAACGGAACAATAATAGGGTAAATTCCACACAAACCTTAAAAATACTATAAGCCAAAAATATCTACCTAAATCCCTAATAAAACTAAAAAATGTTTACAATGGATTATTCAAGTAGCAGAAGAAATAAGAAATAAACTAATCAAATATCAAGATTGAACCTGTAAAGATTTACCTAGTACTAAATCAAAATTTCAACTCAGAACAATAATAGGGTAAATTCCACACCTTTAAAGGCAATGATAAAACATACTATGAATATTTCAAAATATGAAATACAATTATTTCATCATACAAAAAAGCAATAATGAATTTTAAAAATGATATCAAACAAAATGAAGTTAATACAGAATGTCAAAAAATTTTATCACCCTCTGATGATTTTTCAATAAAAACAATTTTTTTTTTTTTGGGCATTGAATCTACTAAGTTTTTAAGCCATTGTGGTTCAAATTTTTCCCACTACTCAATGAGAGCCTTTAATTGTGCCAAACTCGATGGTTTTTGATCAGTTACTTTAATTTTAAAAAGATTCTATAAATTTTCAATTGGATTTAGGTCTGGTGACTGAGGAACCCAAAACTACCATCAACACTGTTTTTTTTTTAACCACTGAGTAGCTAACTTTGATGAATGTTAAGGATCTCGAACCTGTTGAAAGATAAAATTACGAGATTTTTGGCACTTTTACATTTTTGGCACTTGATCTCAGTTTTTGCTTCATAATATCAGTATAAACCTCTTTTGTCATTATTCCATCAATGAATTTGAGCCAACAACACTCCAAGCAAAGGAGCCCCAAACCACTTTTATAGTGTTCCAGGATCAATTTTTTACTGATTCATGAATTTTTTACCAAGAACCTAACAAGAAAACATACTTTGCTAAAAAATTAGTTAGAATAACTTATATCAATCAAATTTGTTTGCTTTTGGCTTTTTTTCTGCAATTTTACTAAGTTAAACAACAGAAAAGTTAAAAAATGATCAGGGGGTGATACACTTTTTTGACTTACACTTTTTCTTATTTAGTGGATAATTTTTGTTTTAAGTATAAGAATATTAATTTCTTGTTATAAAAATGTTTTTTGATGTAAATTCAATGTTTAAAAAAAAATTAATGTCAATTGAGTAAAACTGGTATCACTGAGTATCAAATGTGTTACACTCCTGAAATGCATTTGGCAGTTCAGGAATACCTGTACAAATACCTTTCCCAAAAAATCAATAACAACACATTGCAAATAACAAGCAATGAAGACAAAGTCAGTAGTGACAAATTTCAGAAATAATAACTTATCTAATCATTGCCAAAGAACTAAAACAAATTATCTCATCACTGACTGGAAAAAGATAAATTTATTTCTGAGGTTAGTTTTGTGGCTCTACCATGGATAAAAACATCCCTATTACAAAAGTGAAAATGCACTTCTGTGCAATCTGTCATATCAAAAGTCAGAAAAACGTCTAATTAAAATAAAAATACTTATCTTGGGCAGACGTTAAATGCATCTGGTTAATGTCTTATAGAAGGCCTCCTAGATATAAACAGATAAAGGTAAACAGATTCTATCTATTGACCAGCTTTGCACCACATTTACCTCATTTGCTTCTGATCATGGTTTAATCTCTCTAAAATCTTACTCTTCTTCATTATTAGAATTCCCCTATCATCATATCTTTTACAACTACCTTAAAGATGACTGTGACTCTTTTTGTGATTTTCTTCAAAATAATAATAATAATAATAATAATAATAATAACAATAATTCAACAATAATTGAAGCGAATTTGAAACATTTCAAATGAATTTTAAATTGAAAAAAAAAAAACTTTATTTATTAAGAAATAATGATAATAAACAAAAAATGACAACAAATTACTATAACAAATTTATTGTATTTAAATTGTTGTGACAAATTTATTAGACATGGATATTTTATCATTTTATCAGATTCTGTAAGCAATTAACATAATAGATATTGGTAAGTAATTTGCTGGTTGATTGAGAGTGTTTGCCATTTCATTACTATTCCTCATCTTCCTGCTTTATCTTTTAAAAATCTAGTTTCTTGCTTTGATCGATTTATTTAATTGTATTTTTTAAAATTAAACTTCTTAACTTGTTTGTCTTAAGTTTTGTTAATTTTTTTGTTCTTAATCCATAAAGTTTTTGACAAGCATAACTAGGGAGGTATAAAAATCAAGAAGAAAGAAAACCCTAACGATTATTTTTGTAAAATATATTTAAACTTTGGTAAAATTCTGGTAATGTAAGATTTGGTGAGATTTTGTAAAGTAAAATTCTAGATAAGTATAAAATCAAGACTATAATATTATATTATATTTTTAGAACATAACATTTCTTTTTATGTAATTTATTTTTATTTAATATATTTAGATTTTAAAAATAAGTTAAGATTCTAAAGGAGTATAAAAATAAAGAATATAATATTATGCACAAGAATATGAAATTATATAATATAATATAAAATATTAAAAAATTAAAAAAATTACTTTGAGATCCTCCAAATAGTCCAATCACCATTGATATTACACTCAGAACAGATGAAACTAAAGCTCCAATAGGACCAGTTAAAGCAGCTATACCACCAATTACACCAAGAACACCTACTACCATGTCCTGCCATTTTCCATTAATATAACCCTCAGCAAATTTAACTACAGAACCTCCAATGCTAGTTATGGCACCTAATGTATAACAAATTATAACAAGGCAATAGTAAAATAATTCATTTTAAATATGTAAAGAACTTAAAATATATATCTAATATAATAATTTTAATGTAACATAATAGATATAATAACATATTAAAAAATAGTAACATAAAAAAAAAATTAAAATCATAAAAATTCATAATAAATAAACTTTATTTTTTCACTTTTTTATTTATTAATTTATATTAATAAGATTATTTAAAGAACCACAACTGTCCACATTTGTATATATATATATATATATATATATATATATATATATATATATATATATATATATATATATATATATATATATATATATATATATATATATATATATATATACAATTATTATTTTTTTTAAATAACTATTTTTTTTTTTTTTGTTATCATTTTAAAAACTTTGTTCAACTTCATTTATAATTTAAAAGTTGCAACACTGAATGAATTAAAAATAGAATGGATTGAATAACAATTTTTAAAAATTGCAATATCAAACTTTAATAACACTTTATTTATAAAATTTTCAAACAAAAAATATATTTTTAGTGGTACTCTAAGAACTTGAACATTTAATGGGTCTCTATTATTATCAAAAGAGGTTTTCTAAAATAAGCTTACCTAGTCTCAAACAAAGCGAAACTATATGAAAATTTTAAAATAATACTTATTTTATAGAAAAATATATACTTATATATAATTTGCTTTGTTTGATACTCTGTTTGACATATGTTTAAAAAAATGTTTTTGATAATAACCTCAAACATAATAGGACTTTTGATATATTTACTTACCACTTAATTTCTCAGTTGATTCAACTTCATCCTTAACCTTTCCATTTACTGTCACTAATTCACTTCGAAAAGCTTTTACTTTTTTATCCAAACCTTCCTTTAAATCACTGGGTGCTGGTAAATTCTAAAAGAGACAATATCCTTTTTCCGATAAATAATAGTATAAAGTAACAATTATGTTTCAAACTGAATTTCTACTTGTTCATTTATCTATAGGAATGGGAAAGGAACAGTAAAAGTAATCATGTGAGCATGCATAGTATAAAATTAATTTTTCAATCACTTTAATTTTTTTTATCTTATTTGTCTTGGGAAAAGGTTGTTTTGCAATCAATTATTTTTCATAAAAATTCAAACAGTGAAACAAGTCAATCACTTTGCTATATTTTTGGCATAGCTTTTCGAAAAAAAAAAAAGAAAGCTAGAAATAAAAATACTTTTTCATTTTCATATTACTGTTATAATGTTGATTCAGTAATTTAATTGATATTTGTTTAAACAAAAAAATTAAAAGCATATGAAGCCTCAAATTATATAACAAGTATTTACATTTACATTTTTGATTTCTATGATAGCAAAAATATTAACATTTTTGTTAACAATATATTATATAACATTTATTAATAGACTATTTGATTAAAAATATAATTTTTCAAATTACAAATGCAAAGTTATGCAATAAGAGCTTTGAGGCTCATTTGATTGAAAAAGCATAGTATACATAAAAGCCTTCTGAGGAGAGGAGCTTTATCTGACCACACATAATATTTTGTTTTGACAACTTGGCCATGGCTCTTTGCATGTTTTAAAAATGTGCTAAACAAACTAAATTGAGGAGAAAATTAAAAATAATTAATTCCATAAACTTAAAGAAAAATAAAATATTAACGAATGATAAAAAAAAAAATAATTTTTTTTTTATATAATTCAAAAGTACCTCAATTAGTAGTTTAAATTTAATAATTTTTCACATGACAAAATGCTAGTGGAGCTCTTTGAAAAATATAAAGCTTTATATGAGAAGAGCAACTGTTAAGTTCAGTGTTGGATGCAATGAATCCACATTTTGACCCAATCCTTTTAATGGATCATTTTTTTTTATATATTTTATTCATTTAGTAGACATTACAAAATACTAAAGTTTTTTTTAAATAAATTAAATTTTGAAGTAATTAAGTTTAAATTTAAACTTTTAAAAGTTTAAAAGTTTTAAAAAATTTTAAAAGTTATAAAAATTTCAGAGTTTAAAAATGAAAACTTTGATCTTTTCTAAAGTCATTATGTGAAACACTTTTAAATTAGAAAAAAAAATTATTTTCTCAAGTTTATCTTTTTTTATTATCTCACTTGTAAAGATTTATTTTCTTTTTTTCAGTTGAACTTTTTTATTTACAGTACCAACAACATGGTTTTTAAAGTGGGAAGGGGAGGGGGAGGAGGGCACAATTGTTAGTTTCTATAAAAAGGTCCTCTATATCTAGAAACTTTTGCAAAAAAAAAAAAAAAAAAATCCTTAAGAAAATAGCGCGAGACATGGGCCACCTGCATTGTTGCCAATGGTTTAATTTTTCTTTAGTAAAGTCATTTTTTCAATGCATTTTTAAATTGCTTTAATTATCAAAAATACAAGAGCTGTGGTCAAGTTGTCGAAACAGGTCAATTTTTAGCTGGTTGTTTTTAGTTGTCGAAACAAGCCCATAATTAGCTGGGACCGGGACCAGGGTCCCAATTCCAGCTAAAAATGCCCAGGTAAAAAAGCCCAGGCAAAATAATAGGATTCATCAGGGGTTAATAGCCAGGGCTAGGAAAAAATATATAACACTTTATAAATTAAAAATGTATAAAGTGTTATATATTTTTTTTCTAACCCTGGAAAAAATCAGTATATAATATACTGCATGGATTGTAGAGAGTTCTGGAGAACACTTTTGTAAGACTAAAATGTTGCCTGAACTACAAACCATAAAAGATTAAAATTAAGAATTGACTTTAGCAAGGAAAGCTGAATTTATTCGGAAGTCTAAAAATGAGATAATCTGTTTAAGTGGAATGGCAGGAAAAGTATGGCTATTATATTCAAAAGAAAAATTAGAGGAAAAGTTCTTTGCAATTAACTTTGCCTTATACTGGAAGAAGCCATGAGTCAGAGATGAAATACTAGACTTATTTCAGTTAATGGCACTGTTAAAAATTTTCCAAAAGTCTCTAAAACCTAACATCTTTGATAAGATACAAGATTTAGTAAACTGAGAATAACAAAGCTTAGCATCAGACAGGACCTATTTACATTATCTTCTTGCAAAAATAAAAAGATATTTGTTTTCAATAGAAATGTTCTTATAAAAATAAAACAAAAAAAAATGATTAGAGCTTAATATAGCAACTGTACCTGAGAGTGAAAAACAGTAGAATGAGGCTTGATTTAAAACCAATGAGAAGGACTAAAAGCTTCTGTATCTGCTTGGATCCAGGAAGTTAGGTAAGTGGCACAAATATGCATACATAGTATGGATATATAAGGATATAAACATATGTTTGCTATTTATTTAGATGCTGACAATATCTTTACATATTTGTATAAACTATAGTATTTATATGGTGTATTATTTGCCAAAAGAGAAGTTAGCAGTCAGATGGATGAGCGATATGTCTCTTAACAAGACAAGAAAAAGAGCCATAATCCGTTCTGAATGCCAATACTAATTAAAATATAGTCCTGGCCACAAACCTCTAGTTATTTTTAATCAAACGCTTCCCCAGTCACTTACTTGCCTTCACAAAACTCTTTTTGAATTTAAGCATTAAAATAAATATCTGTTTCATTAAATATAAATGGTAGCTTTAAAATAAGTGAAATAAAGTGCCACAAAATTTTAACACACAAAAGCACATTTAAATTTGTACTAATAACATCAACAATTATTTTGTGCTATCGAAATCGATAGCACAAAATAATTGTTTTTTTTTTTCTTGTTTTTTTTTTTATTATTACTCAACTCCTAAAGGCCCGAGGGGGCCACTACAGTCGAGGAGGCTACTCATTTTTTTAATTTTTTTAAAAAAATATTTTTTTAAACTTTTTTTTAATTTTTTTATTTTTGTTGTAAATCGTGGTACAACCCTCTCTGATGATGATAATGATGATGATGTAAAAAGGGCATCATTAGAAGATCCGCCCCATATATGGCAACAGTATTACATACAAGGCCAGATTTAAAATTTATAGAGGTAGAGAATAGAATCCAGAGTAAGAAAGTGTCAAGCTCGATAAAGAGATGCAACTTTAGCAGATGCTAATTTTGCAATTGATTTGATATATGGTTTCTAAGAAAGATCAGAAGTAAAAGTTAATCCTAGATAATGAGGGGTAGATGACTTATTGAGCACATTACAAATCATAAATATAAGAAGGTCTAAACTATTGTGATGATGACTGGCAAAAAAAATTGATTTTTATCTGAATTGAAGTTCACCAGCCACTGTGAGCCCCATGCTGTAGCAGAAGTAAGATTCTTTTCAAGCTTAAATGTCCCCTCAAAGCAATCAGAGAGAGAGTTGGCTTCTTATCATGACAAGAATAAATCGTAGTATCATCAGCAAACAATGCCACCTGAGATGTAAGAATATCTGGAAGATCGTTAATGTAAATTAAAAAGTATAGGGCCAAGGATTAAACCTTGAGGAACCCCTAAGGTTACAGAATAAGAAGAAGAGTGCTGTCCAAGGACAACATTTATACTACAAGTGGAAAGGAAGGATTCAATAATCTTAAAGATGTTATCAGATACATCGTAAGAAGAAAGCTTATGGAGAAGACCAGCAGGCCAAATTATATGAAAAGCATTATAAATGTCAAGAGCGATAGCTTTAACCTCTCCACCTTTATCTAATGCACAACAAAACCTATCAGTTATTACTGTTAGCAAATCAGCTGTAGAACAAGAAGATCAAAATCCATATTGATGATCAGAAAGTAAGTTATTAGATTCAAGATGAGAGATTAAGTGTTTGTTAATCAAAGATTCAAAAACATTGGTAATGATAGGAAGAAGATTAATGGGATGGTAGTTAGACAAATCAGATCGCTTTCCAGAATTTTTAAAAATAGGGATAACAGATGTTGCTTTCCAGCAGGCTGGAAAACAAGACTCTGAAAAGCAATTGTTAAATAGTTTTGAAAGGATAGACGACAGCTCCAGAGAACACTTTTGCACGACTATAACAGGTATAATGTCTGGGCCACAAGCTGTAGAAGAGTCTAAGCAGGAAGTCATTTTAGATAAAGAAGCTGGAGTGATACAAATGTCAAGCAATGGATCAACCTGTTTGACGGTTATATCAGGTAGAACGCAACTAGTGGAACCAAAAGATGATATTGATGAAAAGTTCTTAGCAAATAATTCAATTTTGTCTTTAGGTGAGGTGACAAAGTCTGAACCATACAAAAGAGGTGGAATTACAGACTTACCTTTATTATTGATACTATTAAAGATTCTCAGATATTAAAGATTCAGTTTGAAAGTTGACTATTTGAGTTAGAGATTGAGAAAGACAAAAGTTGTAGGCTTTAATTCCTGCAGAGTCACTGGCACTAGAGCCATTCAGTGTGATGAACATTAAAGTCACCAACAACAACAATAATGGCTGATGGATAAAAAGAGAGGGCTTGGTCAGTATTATCAGAAATAACATCAAGAAGAGTTTGGTTTGAGATGAACAAAGAGAAAGGTGATAGAGTGAAGTGGTGCTAAACGAAAACACAGAAAAGAGTAGCATGTGGATTCAAACCTAGTTTGCCGACAAATGGGTGGATTCTTATGAATGTAAATGCCCAGGCCAAGCATGACTATTGAAGTCTTTACGAATTAAAGGAAGATAACCATCAACACTAAGATCACAAGATGAGACAACTGAACTTAAATTAGTCTCACAAAGTAAAGCAAGTAGGTCTGGTAAACTTTGCAAGAGATAAGACTCAACAGAAGAAAAGTTACTTCGAAGACCACGAATATTAGTGAATGATAGATTTAGTGAACTTGGTAATGACAGTGGCTTTTTGTGTTTTATAGTTTTTGTTACTTTATTTATTTTTAAATTTGTTAAAGAACTTGACTCGAAACATAG